AATAAAGCGTATGTAACGTTTAAGGCTGTTGAATGTACACGCTAACTTGTCTTACCTAAGCTCATTTAAATGCCTAACCTGATATAACGCTTACTACTACCTCCAGGATGCCACTTATAACAATGACTAACACTAATCATTCGGTTGCAAGTCGAAAGCGCTACCACCGAGTTATTCCCAAAATTACTGTAATAACAAATGTCATGTACTTTCTGTAAACAGATTTTTTTTAATGGAGTTGACGTTTCGAGGTGTGAATTATTAATTCTTCACGAAACCTTCACCAACATCAACGGGGTACCTTGATATTGGTGAAGGGATCTTGAGCCAATTCATTGCAACTGACTTCCTCCAGAATTAAAATCTGATTACCTCATTCCCAAGCCGCTGACTGACACGAGTTCTGCGTGTCCCATTAATAAGATCCTTTGCGTGTCAAACTGTTTATCCGTAACTATAGTTCACCAGTCCTTTCAAGGATACCAGAATGTTGGTGAATGATCTTGATCCTAGGAAATTGAGCTACATTTCCCTTGGATTAAAACATGATTACCTTCCATTCCCAGGCTCTCTATAACTCCTTATGGGTTTGGGTCTAGAACTTCCCTATGAATATAAAAAAATATAGTTTACCGGCAGTAATTTTGAGCAATCGTAACATTTATCATCATGATATCTAAAAATGGGACAGTGTTGTGTTCCCTATAGATTCTGTATACATCTGGGCGTGTGGTATGTTTGATTCCACTAAATGTGCGTCTTCAGGCTGTAGGGATAAGGTGTTCGAATAACTATCTCAAGGTTATACACAGAGAGGTGTATATGTCTGTATATACACTTGAGTTTATATAATTTGTTTTCGGGATTAAAATGTCTGACTAGTATAGGTGGCATGCAGCCTTAATGACCCCCGTGTTGCAACAGGCTTTACACGGCTTTACACGTAATATACCAACTAGCACAGTCTGCTTGTGCTCAGTTCTTTAATTTACACTATTCGTTAAATTTGCGATATTGTGCCCCCTCAAGGAAGGTTCTTTGATGTTGGTGAGGGGCTCTTGATTTAGGGAATTGGATCTGTGCTCCAGTTCCCCGAATTAAGCCTGAATGCCTTCCACATCCCCCCTTTAGGCGCTGTATAATCCTCCGGGTTTAGGGCTTCCCCTTGATTATAATAATAATAATAATGCGATATTGTGCAATCACAGTTTCCTGGAGAAAGAAATCTAGCATATAGGAAATAAACATTACAGTAAAATAATAGCCCGATATGCCAGATACTAGTACCGGAAAAAAAAGCTCCCCCTCAGTACCACCAATACCACCAGTCCGATGACATTCTTCTTTGCAAATATACAGGGTCTAAAGCCAGCAACGAACAACAAAATACCTTTCATCCGTGGACTGCTTGCGGAGGCAAGCTTGCTTGCTTGCGGCTTTCACAGAGACCAACATAAAGGATCACTTGGACGACGAAATATGGATCCCAGGTTACAACCTATACAGATGCGACAGAGTGAACAGGCAAAAGGGCGGGGGGATTGGCCTGCATATCGCAGAGTCACTTATTTGCACAGAACTGCTTAATGCCTCAATGCTCCTGGAGGATTTAAACTTGAGGCACCTAAAATGGAGGAATATAGCAAATAATGTTGTTGCAGTGATAACACCAGGAGGCAGCTCTGACGAGAACTCACACACATACGAGCTCTATTATTTGCTGGTTTAAGGCTCTATTATTTGCTGGTTTAAGTTAAATTTTGTGCAGAGATTTAATCTCTGCACAAAATTCAACTTAAACCAGCAAATAATAGAGCCTACTAGACTGGAGAATACACTAAACCTCATCTTCACTAACAATGATGATCTGATTCGAAATGTTACCATATCAAAAACAATATACTCAGATCACAACATAATAGAGGTTCAGACTTGTATGCGCGGAGCCCCAGACCGACAAAATGAGATTAGTCACGAGGGAGCCTTCACCAAATTCAACTTCAGTAACAAGAACATAAAGTGGGACCAAGTAAACCAAGTCCTAAACGATATAAGCTGGGAAGATAGACTAAGCAACACAGACCCCAACTTATGCCTAGAACAGGTTAACTCGGTGGCACTCGATGTATGCTCAAGGCTTATTCCTTTAAGAAAAAGGAGGAGTAGATGTAAAATAGAAAGAGACAGGCGCTCCCTTTACAGGCGACGGAAAAGAATAACAGAGCGGTTAAAAGAGGCCAATATATCTGAAATGCGTAAGGAGTCACTGGTCAGAGAAATAGCAAACATCGAACTTAAGCTAAAGGAATCTTATAGGAGTCAGGAATCGCGGGAAGAACTAAAAGCCATAAATGAAATCGAAAGAAACCCAAAGTATTTCTTTTCTTATGCCAAATCAAAGTCGAGAACAACATCCAGTATTGGGTCCCTACTTAAACAAGATGGGTCCTACACAGATGCCAGCAAGGAAATGAGTGAGCTACTCAAGTCCCAATATGACTCAGTTTTTAGCAAGCCGCTAACCAGACTGAGGGTCGAAGATCAAAATTAAGTTTTTATGAGAGAGCCACAGAATTTGGTTAACACAAGCCAATCTGATGTTATCCTGATGCCAAATGAATTTGAACAGGCGATAAATGACATGCCCATGCACCCTGCCCCAGGGCCAGACTCCTGGAACTCCGTGTTCATCAAGAACTGCAAGAAGCCCCTATCACGAGCTTTTACCATCCTATGGAGAGGGAGCATGGACAGTTACTAAAAACAACAGACATAGCCCCAGTCCACAAAGGGGGCAGTAAAGCTATAGTAAAGAACTACAGACCGATAGCACTAATATCCCATATCATAAAAATCTTTGAAAGGGTCCTAAGAAGCAAGATCGCCACCCATCTAGATACCCATCAATTACACAACCCAGGGCAACATGGGTTTAGAGCAGGTTGCTCCTGTCTGTCCCAACTACTGGATCACTACGACAAGGTCCTAGATGCACTAGAAGACAAAAAGAATGCAGATGTAATATATACAGACTGCAAAAACCTTCGACAAGTGTGATCATGGCGTAATAGCGCACAAAATGCGTGCTAAAGGAATAATAGGAAAAGTTGGTAGATGAACCTATAATTTCCTCACAAACAGAACACAAAGTGTAGTAAACAGAGTAAAGTCTGAGGCGGCTACGGTGAAAAGCTCTGTTCCACAAGGCACAGTACTCGCTCCCATCTTGTTTCTCATCCTCATATCTGACATAGACAAGGATGTCAGCCACAGCACCGTGTCTTCCTTTGCAGATGACACCCGAATCTGCATGACAGTGTCTTCCAATGCAGACACTGCAAGGCTCCAGGCGGACATCAACCAAATCTTTCAGTGGGCAGCAGAAAAAATATGAAGTTCAACAATGAGAAATTTCAATTACTCCGATATGGTAAACATGAGGAAATTAAAACTTCATCAGAGTACAAAACAAATTCCGGCCACACAATAGAGCGAAAAACCAACGTCAAAGACCTGGGAGTGATCATGTCGGAGGATCTCACCTTCAAGGACCAGAACATTGTATCAATCGCATCTGCTAGAAAAATGACAGGATGGATAATGAGAACCTTCAAAACTAGGGATGCCAAGCCCATGATGACACTCTTCAGGTCACTTGTTTTATCTAGGCTGGAATATTGCTGCACACTAACAGCATCTTTCAAGGTAGGTGAAATTGCTGACCTAGAAAATGTACAGAGAACCTTCACGGCGCGCAAAACGGAGATAAAACACCTAAATTACTGGGAGCGCTTGAGGTTCCTGAACCTGTATTCCCTGGAACGCAGGCGGGAGAGATACATGACTATATACACCTGGAAAATCCTAGAGGGACTAGTACCGAACTTGCACACGAAAATCACTCACAACGAAAGCAAAAGACTCGGCAGACGATGCAACATCCCCCCAATGAAAAGCAGGGGTGTCACTAGCACGTTAAGAGACAATACAATAATTGTCAGGGGCCCGAGACTGTTCAACTGCCTCCCAGCATACATAAGGGGGATTACCAATAGACCCCTGGCTGTCTTCAAGCAGGCGCTGGACAAGCACCTAAAGTCGGTACCTGACCAGCCGGGCTGTGGCTCGTACATTGGATTGCGTGCAGCCAGCAGTAACAGCCTGGTTGATCAGGTTCTGATCCACCATGAGTCCTGGTCACAGACCGGGCCACGGGGGCGCTGACTCCCGGAACTCTCTCCAGGTAATATGTCGGCCGGGTTACACTTTCCAACTTGCAAGTTTCTTGTAATAAACAACATATTTTTCTTCAAAGGAAGTAAAGGGGTCATGTGACATGGCCTCTTCAGCTGGAATGGTCATTCCAGCTTAAGACGTCATGTAATGATAGTAATTCTGCCTTGTTAATACTGGATTTTAATAATATACCTTAGTGATAGTCGGCTGTTGTGGGTATAACCCTGGATACAGCCGGGATTTGACGTAGGATAACAGCTCTAAATTTCCCTAAGCTGAATAACCTTGTTATTCAGCTGGGGTTGCCAGGAGATGACTTGCTCACCCTACAATCTTGGTCAATCAGTTGACAGCTATCGCTTGCTCCATGAGGGCGTCACTTGTGCTGCATTGCATCTCAGAGGTAATGAACATTGCTTTTATTTATTTTCTAATTGTAAACATTCCTTTAACAGGCATGCTTTGATGCCCGTACAGGGTCCTTGGGCCAAGTAATTAGAGCTATCCTTTCCTTATTGGATCAAAATCTGAATACCTCCCCAGGCTTTGTATGAGTGTAGCACCTCCATAATTATAATAATATTAAGCCAGTTTAAACATAATCGATGAGCACACCCAACCACCAAGAGTATAATAATTAAGGACCACTAATGCAACGTCATTTCTCTTGACCATTGCTTATGGAATAATAACCAACAGAATGGGTAGTCAACAATAATGCTTGCTCCTACAACTTTGTCATCACTTGAAGGCAGAGTTGAAAGTTTAGGAGGGAGCTTTTAAGAGGAAATTATGATACTCAGCTGCTTCCACGTCAACAGGGAAGTCATAACGAGACTTTTGGTCATTGGTGGAAATGTAGAGTGAAGGCAGTGTGGTGGGAAGTGTTAATTAAATCGTTTGCGGTGCTTCAGGACTAGTGCAAAGAGATAATCAGGACCAGTGTGAACCAGCTGGCTCACTTGTGAACGTGAATATTGGTAATGAAAGTCAGAGGAAAAATACAGGTAAGTGTATTGTTGAGGATTCTGGGGCACTCGATAAGCGTCTTGTTTAACGGATGACACCATTTAATACTGGGAGTCAATGCTGTGGCTGTTTCTTAGTGGTGGACAGTGACCTATCTGGGGGTTAAATTAATTTGTAACTGTAGTGTGGAAAAAATCAACAATTTTTAAATTACGGAAGGGATTGGAAATTTTGTGGAATAAATATGAAAGGAAAGTTAAGACTAACAGGAGATGAAGATATGGTCGTAGATGAGAATGGAGGAGGTGATGGAATCAGCTGGAAGCGATAAACATCCCGAAATTCCTGAGGTGTATAATAATAATAAAATATGGAAAATAAGTAGAAAAAGAGATACATTTTTTTCAAGATTATTATTTCAAGATTAAATTCTATTCAACCTATATCGAGCTCTGCGTGCTCGTCCAAGGCTAGACACGTACACCGGTTATATCCCACATCCTTTCAAGGTAATGCGATCATGCCATTGAAGGACTGTTGATCAAAGGAATTGGAAGCACCCAATTTATCAAACTTGACTGCCTCCTATTCCTCAGGTGCTGTATGACCCCTATGGATTTAGCGCTTTTCCGTGGTTATAATAGTAATAATAATTATATATAACCATTTATCTGCTCCTTACTGTATACTTACCTCAGTCACGAAATTTGCAACTTCACTTCCCTCCACTTACACGATCTTTCAGAATCCACGTTGATTGTCACTTAACATTTCCGTGCAGGAAAGATTCTTGATCCACTGGACTAACTTTATCATCCCTCTCTGCACACTCTCTGGTGTGCTCAAGTTTGGTAGTTAATTCCGCTTATCTATAAGCGCTGCAAATTATTTAAAGTTAAATCCCCTGTTATGACTACATTTTTTTCTCTTAATTAAGCGTCTACATTTTCGTCCCAAAATAATTTTATTTTAATTTTTTTTTTCAAGTTCGCGGTCGATGTAACACGCTTAGTATGAGCTTATGATGTCCCCCAAGAAATTACGATCAAATAGCCCGCGTCAGCTTTTAATGTCACGAGAAATTTCCATCAAATAGATTATATCTATTCTTTCAGCCCTTATATCTTTGTTTTACGCAGCAGATTTCGCTAGCTCAACGCATATTTTGTTTTCATTAGGGGAAGGAGAGAGAACCTCCTCCAAGGAATTCAGCTTAAAATGATCCACACTGCAACTTGGCTTTCTTGGATTATCCTGGGTTATTATCTTTTCGGGATTATTAATTCGAAGTGTCTTCTGGGTTATTAACTTTTCAGGATTAATAATGCCAAGTCTTCATCTTCTCAGTCGACAGCGTAATTAATCGTCCAAACATCCACTAACCACATATTTGCAAGCATCATGCGATGTTCTTACTGATAAGACGAGAGAGATATCTTCAAGATTAAATTAGATATGACACCGAGTAGCTAGCTGATTGTGCACCTATATATATCCTGCGGACGGTACCAATAGCATATGGTGGAAAAATTAAGATTCTCCTAAATTCAGCATGTGTAAATTTGAATAATACAATAACTGTGTAATAAAAATGTAATGCTGATTTGACCCTTCGAGAAATTTTAAGTGAGGGGTGTGTGTGTGGAAGAGCCGGAGAATGACGTGGATGGAGAACGCCATATGGAATTTAATGTGTGAGCAGTGGGCTTAACTCTGCTAATAATCCGGCGTCTTCTGAGACAAGTTGGGATTTTTCGGCCTAAATTTGTAATTAGGAACCCATGTTAATGTCCCTTGCCGAAGAATTGGGGCAGGAAATTTGCGGGATCTCAAGAATTACGTGTGGATGGCGAAAAATAAGGGATGCAACATCACTCACAGGGAAGTGCACCATTAGTCCTTGCATTTAGATCACTAGCTGGCCAGTGTAGGGTCTAGGTGTTAGGCAGGTGTTATGGTGTGATCCATCTACAGTAATTAATACAGTAATACAAACTTCTGTTCTAATAGCACTATTGTATTTTATGTATTGTACTAATGGTTATATTTTTGTGTACCCAGCAAGTAAACCAAAATAACATACAAACCACAAAATTTTAATTACCAAAGTAGCTGGTTTTAATATTACAATTATTAATTTAATGTCAGGTCTAGCTTTTTGTGAGTGGTGATGAAGTAGGGAGTCGAAGGAGTTGCAGTTCAGCGACCTACTGAGACTAAGTCCCACTTACCTCACCCAAATTACTTGCAGGTGATGCTCTATAAGCCTCCTGCAGATGATTTGCTCAAATAATAGTAATAATTTTATACACACATAAGGACCAGGAACTAGGCCCTAAAAGGGTTAACAGGAGTGCATTTGGCTATAATTTACAATTTAATATTTGATCTGTTACCGCGGGTTCAAATCCCGCCCGTGGTATGGTTTTTTTTAGGATAATTGTTGAACATTCCTGGTACTCTATCTGAGCACTAAAATATCTTAATGGACTCTGAAATAATGGAGGAAATTTAAGAATAAAAGAATTAAGGAACTCCGCAGAAAGCAAACTGACCCATTCTAGGCATTTTTTTTCTCACAATCATTCCCACTCGTGTGTCTAGCCTAATTTTGAAACACTGAGACCAGAACTGCCTTGCATAATCTAAATTAGGCTTTATCAAAGAAATGTTTTGTTTTAATGCTTCGTATTTTTTTTTCTCCTTTGAACAGAGAACAAATAATGGATGTAGATAATAAGTGCATCCGGGCTTTTGTGAGTAATGTTGTTGTGTTCCCTGACGAAACCTGCCAGGCTGTTATTCAGGTCAAGAATTCTAAGATTCACTCCATCCAGAGGCACAGCACAGACGTCTCAGCCTTCACGGAGGACCAGGTACTTACGGCAGATATAGTGTTTTCTGCAACAATTGAAAGTAATCTAATAACCAGAACTTATGAAAGTGCATTTTGAATGAATGCAACAATGTTAGAATACTGTTACAATAACACTGAATATAAAGGATAATGAATATATAGTTAGGTACCCCTCCCTCCCAAAATTAGATACCAATAATTCAGTTTCTTTCTATGGTGATTAATTTTCCCCTATCATTTTTTGCTTCGTTTCAATGCATATAGTTTCTCTCGTATCAATTTTATATTTTTAACTCATGTTTTTATGGTTAAAGAGCAGTGTAGCTGTATATTTGTCAAATTTAAAATTATTTTGGGAGGGGATTATTTTTTTGAGACTTCTGGATTGTAACAAATGTTCGGTGGTGTTACGACTTTGATGTCGTAACTTAAATAAAAAGATCCTGGCTCCTAAATGGCTGCACCATCTGCTGTCTAGGGGCATTAAAAATTACACTAAAAAACATAGCCAATCTGGGATCAGCATGCACTCGTATTAAATAATGAAGCATGAGTGCAGATAATTAATATAGTATATGCGAGGACAAACAAACGCACCTAATACAAAAATATACATATTAATAATAGTAACTTATATACAACTTACAAACTACTACAAAAAACCACCACACTCCAGTTCACGTTACCTCACCGCTACTAATGAGTTAAACAAAAATCATCAGGGAGGCACCATGACATACACACCCCCGTCTTCACTTCTGCCTGGTAGATTATTTACCAGCAGGCAAAACACCATACAGTACTCTTGCATAAACAGGCCTCTGCATACTAGCACTAAAAAAAACTTACCAAAATTACCTACTCAAACTACCACCTAAACCATGATGACTTCTCCCCGTCACCACCCGTCTCGTACTGAACTAAACACATCTGCTCCTGTGTTTTCCACACTAACCGACCGGGAATAATATGCGTTCGGATTCAGTACACACCCGGAAATGACATACGGAGCGTTATTTCTTATATAATTTTGTACAGTATTTTAAATGCAGCATAGTAGGTGGTGGTGGTGTTTTATTCGTCAGGTAATAAGACTGTCTTCGAGCACAGGTCTTATTCAGATGATAACTCATTAAACATACACTTTCATTCTCCTTGATTATTATCATAATCAGGGGAAGCGTTAAATCCGTAAGGGTTACATAACATCTGGGGAAATGGACGGCAGTCACATTCGAGCCTATGAAGGGGAGGAAGGGTTTGGTTCCTTGGTTGAAGAGCTTTACCTGTATCAAGGTATCTAACTTGAGAGGTCTATTTAAAAAAAAAGAAAAAGAAGGATCACTACAGGATAGAATAACCCATTCAGGTTCAGTGTTTTTTTTTTTAACTCGGTAATAATACATTGAAAATTCCTCCATTAAACCAGACTACACATTTTCTGTAGTCATAATCCCTTCAAGGATTGGGGAAAATGCCTTGATGCTGACGAAGAGCTTTTGAGACAAGGAATTGGAGTTACGCTTCTCTCAGATTACTTCCCATTCCCCAGGCACTGTGTGACCCTCATGGATTTAGCTCATAGCCATGATAATAATCAGCAAAACTTTTTCAATACTTCCTATTTGGAATAATGGTACCTGAGGCACCTCATAGGGCGTTCGGCTCACAGCAGGATCCGGGATCAGTCCTAGGGGAGGAGGGACGTTTGGGCAAATCTCTTAACACCTAGGAGTAAGCAGATGCCTAGAAATTGGTCAACTGCTGTAGGTTGCATCCTGGGGGCAGAACTGAGGCTAATCTCTTGGGTTATCAATCCCAATTAATAATAAAGCATAAGCTATTGTTTTTCCAACCAGATATTCTAGTATGGGTCAGTAAACGTACTACAGTGATACTCTCTTATTTGTGTACAGGTTGTAGACTGTGGTGATCTTGTGTTGATGTCAGGCCTGGTAGACTCACACGTGCATATTAATGAACCTGGACGTACAGCTTGGGAAGGCTTCAGCTCAGCCACACAAGCAGCAGCAGCCGGAGGCATTACTACCTTAGTGGATATGCCTTTGTTAGTAGTAGCTTCTCTTCCCTATTTAATATTTCATTTCCTAAGCGATTTATGACATTTTCAGTTTAGTGCTACCCTAATAATAATAATATTTTTTCCTTACATTAAAGCCATGAAAATAAAGCTCGTAAAATAAGTAGTATAGAATATACTCTGTTTTTCCTTTAACTGTTATTTTTTATGTATGTAATTTAAATTGTTTTCGAAAGTAGGCATCAGTGAGGAGACATAAAGCGGTGATCAAATAAAATCTCAGAAGTAAAACTGCAAGAGGTGACTGAGGTGGCAATTCTTTTCTAAGTGATTATATTTGTTAATATGATTTTTGAGAAGCAAGTTACAGTCAGCTTCATAGTGCCATCTCCGCATAATTCTTCACGACTGTGTCAAAAGATATATATTTTAAATTAATATTTTAATTCAGCTCGTCTGTGTGGAATAAACGAAAATGTGTGTATGTGTTTGCTTTTGATGATGAGTTGACGTGTCAGCGGATGGATTTATGAAGGATGAGGTTAATTATAGAACTGATGAAGGAAAGAGGGTGAATGGTGCATTGAGGTATATGTGGAGACAAAAAACGTAATCTATGGAGGCAAAGAAGGGAATGTATGAAAGTATAGTAGTACCAACACTCTTATATGGGTGTGAAGCTTGGGCTGTGAATGCAGCAGCGAGGAGACGGTTGGAGGCAGTGGAGATGTCCTGTCTAAGGGCAGTGTGTGGTGTAAATATTATGCAGAAAATTCGGAGTGTGGAAATTATGAGAGGTTGTGGAGTTAATAAAAGTATTAGTCAGAGGGCTGAAGAGGGGTTGTTGAGATGGTTTGGTCATTTAGAGAGAATGGATCTAAGAAGAATGACATGGAGAGCGTATAAATCTGTAGGGGAAAGAAGGAGGGGTAGGGGTCGTCCTCGAAAAGGTTGGAGGGAGGGGGTAAAGGAGGTTTTGTGGGAGAGGGGCTTGGACTTCCAGCAAGCGTGCGTGAGCGTGTTAGATAGGAGTGAATGGAGATGAATGGTATTTGGGACCTGACGAGCTGTTGGAGTGTGAGCAGGGTAATATTTAGTGAAGGGATTCAGGGAAACCGGTTATTTTATATAGCCGGACTTGAGTCCTGGAAATGGGAAGTACAATGCCTGCACTTTAAAGGAGGGGTTTAAGATATTGGCAGTTTGGAGGGATATGTTGTGTATATTTATATGTATGTGCTTCTAAACTGTTGTATTTTGAGCACCTCTGCAAAAACAGTGATTATTGTGAGTGAGGTGAAAGTGTTGAATGATGATGAAAGTATTTTCCTTTTGGGGATTTTATTTCTTTTTGGGTCACCCTGCCTCGGTGGGAGACGGCCGACTTGTTAATATATATATATATATATATATATATATATATATATATATAATATATATATATATATATATATATATATATATATATATATGAACATCAAAATGGTATTCAGATAGTTCCTGACTATGGAACTAAACTTATCCAGGCTGAGGGACTGATAACCTCAAATTCTACGACTTCAAGGGTGGTGGACTGATTACATCGTCTTCACATCTTTACTGTTCCTGCCTTCTTTCTGTATTCGACTGAAGAAGCCTACTGTGTAGGCGAAACGTTTCGAAATAAAGTTGCCTAACTGTTGCCCATGTGTCTTACATATATATATATAATATATATATATATATATATATATATATATATATATATATATATATATATATATATATATATATATATATATATATATATATATATATATATATATATATATATATATATATATATATTATATCGTGCCGAATAGGTAAAACAAGTCAGTTAGCAAGAACTCCTTTAAAATTTAGTCCTTTTGAAAATTTTCTCTTATACGTTTAAAGATATATGTTTTCATTTGTGTTTATGTAAGAAAATTAATAATTTTGTACCAAAGGACCTTAGAAAACTTACCTAACTTTATTATAACAAACGCAATTTAATTTAGCCTAATCCATCTAACTACATTTTAAATAAGTTTACAGTAATTTAATAACAAACAAACGCAATAAAATATGTTTTTTCGTTAGGGTCAGAACGATTTTTTGCGAAATTATTGCATACACAAATTTTCGCTTGTCTTATTCGGGGAGAAGATTATTATTACAATCAAGGGGGAAGCGCTAAACCCGGAGGATTATACAGCGCCTGGGGGGGTATGTGGAAGGCATTCAGGCTTAATTTGGGGAACTGGAGCATAGATCCAATTCCCTAAATCAAGAGCCCCTCACCAACATCAAGGAACCTTCCTTGAGGGGTCGGGGAGAAGAGCGTTGATATTTATGCTTATCGTATATTCTCCGAGGGGTGCCTTGATGCCATTGAAAGACTAAATTATTCGTGAAGATGCAGTTACCTTCCCTTTCCTTGGTCCAAACCTGATTACTTCCCATTCTCTCCAGCACTGCTTTGACCCCTACGGGTTTGGCGCACCACCCATGAATATAGTAACGTAGACACTGTGGTTACAGGAACTGCATCCCAGCCACAACATCAGTGAAGGCTTGGGAAGTCAAGATGGCTGCCGCTGAGAGTCGGTGCTGGGTCGATGTTGGCTTCTGGGGAGGAGTCGTGCCAGGTACTGTACATTCTGCCATTTTGTTTATAGTTTTAATTTATATAAGAATGATTAAATATTCATGACCTACACGGGCTCAAAGCTTTTGATAATCTGAATCCCAGAGTGATAACGTCCTCTAATGCTCATTGAAACATCCTAGTTGTTGGCTATCGGTCATTAATTTACAAAATTATTTTTTTTATATTTGTATGACTCGTCAAACCCGTGTGGGTCATTCGTAGTTTTCCAGCCTTTCTTGACCTTCACCAAATGACTGTTTATTTGACATTCGTCATGCATACACAAGACCTACGTCACTTGGTCTCCTTATCTCTACACACCTTGAAGACTCCACCAGGGCAAGGATACCACCATCATGACATAAAATATTCTTTAATATTTGCATTATCTCAAACTGAAACACTTATGTCAGCTTATCTGTCAATTCCGCCAGGAAACTCAGCGGAACTTCTCAAGATGGTTGCTCATGGTATCTGTGGCTTCAAGTGTTTTCTTGTAAACAGCGGTGTTGATGAGTTTCCTTGTGTCACCTTTGACGATGTAAGAGAAGCTCTTCAAGAACTTGTTGGCAGTAAATCTATTTTACTGGTATGTTATTTTTTTTATTTTACTGTTGTAATTTCTGATGTTGATATTATTACATTATTATTATTATTATGATTGTGGAAAACCGATAAACCTATACTGTGCCTAGGTAATGAGAGGTAAACAGCCATGATCAAGGAAAGGGGAGGACAGGCTCAGTAAATTGGGACAAGAGTTCTATAACAGCATCAAGGAATTTTCTCACTGAAGAGATATTATTACTGAAGGTATTTTGTTGAAGGTGAAATCTCACTTAATTTTAATACTCTGTTTAATTTTGGGGTTGGGCGAAGGAAAATTGACTCATCTTCATGCACTATTGAAACGTAAGAAATATTTCTCCAAATTTGCTACAAATATTTTCAAGGCGCACACAAAGACTTATTTTCTAAGGTGAAAAATAAATACCCTCAAATTTTGTTGATGTAAGGTATAATTTTTTTTGGCTTTGTATGATCTCTGCGGGTTTCGCTCTTCCCTATGAATATAATAATAGTGGGGGTCGGAGTACCTTGTTCTATCACACGGGGATCACAATGCTTTTAACTTACACTTTTTGTCTGTATTTCCAGTTAATAACTAGAGAAACCCCCTTCGAATTAATTTCAAAAACAGTGGAACCCCGGTGTTTGAACTTAATTGGTTCCTAGGAGGTGTTCGAAAAGTTCAGTGTCCGAATCAGTATTTCTCAAATGTAAATGTATTTCAGTGAGAAATACTGATTTTGGACCACGAAAAGTTACTCAAAAAACAAAAAACAGTCCACAATATACTGTAATAATTTTTTATGCTATAAAAACACTTATGTAATATATATAGACAAGGGCAGCTTCCAATTTCCTTCCACATATTAGGTGAGGTGTTAATACATCTGCTTCAGGTGCATCACTCACGTACGAGAGAGGCCGGTTATTTATCCGATTCTCCGCCTCCACCAACAGAGAAACTAGAGCTGTACCTTTGCTGAATTGAGTTGACTGGCACAGGTGGGAGTTACAGAGGAAGTAGGCTACTGTTTGGAGAGGGAGTCACCTTCCATAAAAACATCCAGTAATTCCACCTCTGAAGTGATGTAGTCTTGTTTCTGTCTCTGCATTAATACTGGAAGATTCTGGGGACTCAGAACTGGCAGGTGCATTCGTTTTTTTTTTCTGTTTTAAAAGGAATCTGTCTAATGTGGTCTGTCTGCCTAACCCTCATAATCTTCCTAAAGTTTTCAACCACATCATCACTGAAGGAATTGATGTGGCTCTCCAGAGTAATGTCAGAGTACCATTTCTCCACTATGCTCTGCGTTTTTGACCAATAAAAAAAAACAATTTTTCAAGTTCATCAGTGGAAATTTTGGCATTGCTAACTTCCTACGGTGCCCCGCGGCCTGATTGCTAAAGTTCTCGCTTCACATGGCGAGGGTCTGCGTTCGATTCCCAGTGCGGGTAGAAACATTGGGCGTGTTTCTTTACACCGGTTGTCTTTGTTAACCCATCAGTAAAATGCGTGGCTAGGAGTTAGTCGACTGGTGTGGGTAGCATACTGGGACAAGAACCTAATTTGCCCGAAATGCTCTGCATAACAAGGGGCTTTCTATATAGTAGTATGTCATTGATGTCAGCTAGGCCTGTATACCTTGTACATGTACTTATTATTATTATTATTATTATTATTATTATTATTATTATTATTATTATTATTATTATTATTTTTATTATAGTATATTATTATTATCATTCGGTGGAGAAAATTCCTCTGCTAGTTCCTCAGTTCCTCTTCCTGAGAAGATCTTACAGTTCTTCCGTTTTGAGTTCCCTGCTATGGACATTTATCAACTCCACATCCTCCTGGTTCACCTCTAACCCCATAGACCCACCTGGGGAGATGATTTCTTGAACCACTGGCTCTTCCTCAGTCTCTGCTTGCCACAGAGTCAGGCCACAACTTCCTCCAAGCAGAGTTAATTGTCCTTTGGGGAACATCTCCCAAGGCTTTAATTATCACTCACACACTGGAAGATGTTGTGAACTGAGTCTTCCAAGTCTCTGAGAGTTAGGTCAGTGTCAGAGATCACTTAAAGCACTTTTGAAACAGGGCTTTCGACGCTAACTGAACTGTAAACAAGCCGGTGTGTTCGGACTCCAGAAAAACGTTCAAAGACCGGGTCAGTATTTTCTGAACAAAATTGTAAGGACTCTGGTTTGTTCGAGGTCCGGTACATTCGCACACCGGGGTTCAGCTGTATGAAACACTTTGTTTTGATATTCTTCATTGAATAATTTCGTCATTGGATGGGAAGTATACTTCCGAAATTTATTTCTGATATCTAGATAACAACCTTTGTCTCCGAAAAATTAATCTTGGCTTGATAACGGTCCATGACTGACTGAAGTGTCACATATGTTTACTTACAATTTATGGGTTACCTGTAAATTCATTATGCAAAGTGATTTGTACCAACGCTGGTACACATTTTCGAATATCAGGCAGTTATCAAGAGAGTTTAACAACAAAACAGTTTTGCTCATTACGTTTAATATGATTATACCAACCCAGCAATAATTTTTAATAAATTATATGTCCTTAAATCATTTATCTTTCGTAAGTTTTGTATTAATGTAGATTATTTTTTTCTATTAACAGTTCCACGCTGAGTGTGAGATTGAAGACACTATATCTGATGAAGGTAATGAACATGTAAATATTTTTTAGTTTCTATGCATCAGGAAAGATTCAAAATGCGTGTTTTTATTACCTGACCATAGGTGTAAACAGTCCATCTGGGGAAGGGTTAATGTTGATGATCTCTATTCCATGATAGCTATTTTATCTGTCGGGAGTTGGGGAGGGGGATAATATGAGTGCCCTTATTCTCCGCAAGGACTATTTTATATGGGGGGGGGGAAGTGAAGTGGGTGCTACTTTCTCCACGATGTCTTTTATTTAGCTATCCTTACAACAGACCCACTTTAGCCTTGCCACTTTGCTCTTTTTTTATTATTCATGTACTTACTCACTTGGTCGCTATTGATGCGAGTGAAGGGCTCTTAATATGAGGAATTGGTGCTTCCCCATGAATAAAATATAATAATGTCAACAGTATTACTTGTATAGGTATGGGTAGGTATATTATGTGTAAGTATACGTGACTTAAGGCCAAACCTTAGGTCACGTGACTTAAGGCTTGGCCAGGGAGCCTGTCTAAAAATGTTGCTAGGAAATATACGCTAGGAAGTATACTACACAAGTAATATTGTTGACAATAATAACAATAATAAGAAGAATGGTATTCTTTTGTTATAAAAAAAAATGCGAATCCACAGAGCTTGTCTCTTGCAGATCTTTTATACAGTATTAAGTGGTAATTTAGTTAATTTCCAGTTTTGCATAATCTGCACTAATTAGTCTTGATACACTTCAGGTTATTAGTTAAGATCTCATGACTTCTGTTATCAATATACTCTGTTTATACCTATAATAATTGCATATACATTTTTCCAAACATGTTTTGTAAGTCGAGTGTACTTTCAGACCATCCGGATTTTATAGCACTTGCAAATTGTGTACTTTCAGACCCTCTAGGGTGTTACAGTACTTTTTTAAGTTGTGTATACTTTTAGACCCTTTCCCCAGGATGTTACAATACTTATGTAAGGCTTGTACTTCCAAACCCTCCAGGGTGTTACAACACTTTTGTAAGTCGAGTGTACTTTCAGATCCCCCTGGGCGTTACAGCACTTTCTTGAAGTCTCGACCGCAGAAGATGGAGGCATTGGCCATACAGAGAATCATCAGTCTTTGTGAAGAGACTAAAGTTTGTATAAAGTATTCTTTGTAGTTACATTGTACAGTTGTAGTCAGTAAGCCACTATACCTCAAAACACCTGATGATCCGTTATACAACTGTAGTCCTTTTCAAAGGAGCGCCTTGATGCTGGTGAAGGGCTCTTGATTCAAGGAGTTACCCTCCTATTTTCTCAAGCCTGATTACCTGCCATTCCACAAGCGTCCAATGATGCTTACATGTTTAGTGGGTGTTACGCAGGATTAGCCACAGAGATCAAATTAATAAACAAAAGACAGCGATATCCAAACATAATGTTTGAAACGAAACGCATCTGAAATAAAACATGATTAAACTATACAATTTTGGAAAAAATACCACATCTGAACTTTAACGTATTTCAAAAAGAACATAACAGAAAAAGAAAATGTTTGAAATATAACGTTTTTAGATCATTATTTTGTTTAATTACAGGTGCGTTGCCACATAGTTCACCTGTCAGGAAGTAAGAATCTTCCCATGATAAGAAGGGCCCAGGAGAGAGGTGTTCCTCTCAGTGTGGAAACCTGCTATCACTACCTTACACTCTCTGCTGAGGAGATCCCTGATCATGCTACTCAGTACAAGTGCTGTCCTCCTATAAGAGAGGCTGAAAATCAAGTAAGATTATTATTATTATTATTATTATTATTATTATTATTATTATTATTATTATTATTATTATTATTACGATTGTCATTCTTAGTATTATTATCATCATGGAAAAGCGATGAAGTTGTAGAGGTCATACAACGTGTGAGGACTGAAAGGTAATCAGCTTTGATCCAAAGATAGGGAGGACAGTTACAGTTCCCTGATCAAGAAGCTAAGAAGATGAAAAGTTGATCATCAGTTGTGCACACTATCTTAGCGTTCAGAAGATCTGTTCTGTGGAAATCTCTCTTCCTTCAAGGAAGATGGGATGGCGGGAACGGGGTGCCTTGATGTTGGTGAGCAACCCTTGATTAAAGGCATTAATACTACCCTTCCGTCCCTCGGGTCACCTGATTACCTTTCGTTCCCCAGGCACTATGGCTTATGGGCTTAGCGCTTCTACAACAATATTTAATTGACTGGACATAACCATTATATATTTACTGGATATATCCCCCAGAGAGGAGACATTAATTATAGCTGGTCAGTTGGGTTTAAAGCCTATTGATTACACGAGGGTCATTAATACTGCATGTAACCTGTTTACTGCCATTCAAAAATCCCAAATGAGGACATATGGGGATTAAAGTAAACTAAGTATTTCTATATATTGAGACGTAGAACTTTCCACTTGTACCTTTGTCCTCAGTGCACACACATACGTTAATCAGAAACAGATGCAGCCTAGTGAATATATTATTGCATTCCCATGCATTATAGTTTATATTATATTATAGTTTTTCTTATATATTATCGTTTTACTATATTAATTATTGTTTTTCCTTTACTTTATTTTATAGTTTTTATTATACATTAATTATAGTTTCGTTATCCATTAATTACGGTATCCCAATGTTGCTCAGGTCTCCCTTGAAGAGGGATACCTTATCGAGTTTATTTTTTAGAGAGTAATTCCCATGTGATAATTTAAGCTTGCCTATTTAAAAATCTCAGGAATTTCACAGTTAAGAGTATCTACGTACAGGTAAGTAGCGTGTGTCTATCTCGCTGGGATAATCGCGTTGAATAATTCATGGTCTTACCGGTTCACATTTTGTTATAGGGAAGAGTAGTTATCCATTTGCAGATTTCTTGTTGAGCATATCTGTTTTTTTTTTCTTATCAAAGTGTTGAAATTACAGAATAAGAACTGTTATTCTACCTCAGTTCATGTGGAATCCCAGCCCTGTGTAAAGTACATACACTACCACCCCCATTCTTCCTCTCAAGGATCTCGCCCGCAATAATTGAATAACACCAAAGTATCATCCATTTATGGCTAACAGCAGGTACTATTTATTCCCTGGTGAACAGGGGTAGAACAGATATATAGAAACGTTGCCCATAGGTCTTGTACTGCCTGGGAATCGAGCCCGGTTTCTTTTAGATGTGAGCTGTAGGCGCTACCACTGAGCTACGAGCTACTTTTCTCTCTCTGCTTCAGTGCTAGTTTTAGGAAGCACTGAGCAGTGCCAGCTCTGGGAAGCACTGATCAGTGCCAGCTCTGGGAAGCACTGATCAGTGCCAGCTCTGGGAAGCACTGAGCAGTGCCAGCTCTGGGAAGCACTGAGCAGTGCCAGCTCTGGGAAGCACTGATCAGTGCCAGCTCTGGGAAGCACTGAGGGGATGGTATATTACCTAACTTCCTTCTGCAGTGCCAGCTCTGAGAGGCACTGGGGTATGGCACTACCTAACCTTCTGTAATGCCAACTCTGGAGAACACTGAGGGATAGTATTACCCAACTTCTTTCTGCATTACTAGCTCTGGGAGGTGCTGAGGGATAGCATTACCTAACTTCTTTCCTTTCGCAGTACCAGCTCTGGAAGGCACTGAGGGATATCACTACCTAACTTCCTTTATTCTGCAGTGCCAGCTCTGGGAGGCGCTGAGGGACGGCACTATCCAGCAAGTTGTGAGTGACCATTCTCCCTGCACCCCTGATCTCAAACAACCAGGGAAGATGAATTTCAAGGACGCCTGGGGTGGAATCTCCTCACTTCAGTTTGGTGAGTTTTTTTTTTATTGTGAGGAATCTTGTGTATTCGTCTTCTTGTGTTTGCAGGGGTCGGTTTACAGCTCTGGCCCCACCTCTTTAGCTCTTAATGACTGGTGTTCACGTGCTTGTGTTTGTTGAGCTCTATGTTTCGGGCCACGCCTTTAACCACTAATCATCCGTGTAGTTAATGTGCCGAAAGTCCCGATAATAATAATCGTGATTATGAAAACGAATGCTAATAACAGTGACTAACAGTAATAGTAACAAAAATTAAAGTAGCAAAAACGAAACGACAGTAACAGCAACGACAATAACATCAACAGCAAGAACAACGACAATAACGGCTATGATAATAATATTAATTCTATTTCAGGCCTCTCTGTTTTCTGGACTGGAGCCCAGGCGCGCGGGTTCACCTTACAAGATGTTGTTAAGTGTATGAGTCTAGCACCAGCCACACAAGCTTCTCTTCAACAAAGGAAGGGAGCTCTCAGAGTTGGTCTAGACGCAGATTTTGTTATCTGGGATCCGACTGAGACATTTACGGTAAGACGTATAAAATTATAAGAATATAAAAAGGAATGAACACTGCAGCAGGCCTACTAACCTATGGACCAGACACGCCCTTCTCAAATCTTATTAGAATTTTTTTTAACAAGTCGGCCGTCTCCCACCGAGGCAGGATGACCCAAAAAGAAAGAAAATCCCCAAGAAGAAGATACTTTCATCATTCAACACTTTCACCTCACTCACACATAATCACTGTTTTTGCAGAGGTGCTCAGAACACAACAGTTTAGAAGCATATACGTATAAAGATACACAACTTATCCCTCCAAACTGCTAATATCCCTAACCCCTCCTTTAGAGTGCAGGCTTTGTACTTCCCATTTCCAGGACTCAAGTCCGGCTATACAAGAATAACCGGTTTCCCTGAATCCCTTCACTAAATATTACCCTGCTCACACTCCAACAGATCGTCAGGTCCCAAATACCATTCGTCTCCATTCACTCCTATTGAACACGCTCATTAGAAATAGCTTTCATACATTTGAGTGTTTATACAAAAAAGTTATATTGTTTAATGAATTACATGATTTTTGGTTTTGGCTTCGTCTCATTTGATTAAACTACTTAGTGCTGAAGCCTTCCACAATATTATTGGGAATAAGGGCTATGAATATATATTTCACTTGCTTTAGTAATCACCTAATGTTAAACGTTATTCTTTCACAGATTAATGAATCCATGATACTTCACAGGAATAAAGTGAGTATTACTGTACAGATTGTATATTGTTTTGCCGCTAAGCTTTCTTATGTTTTAATTTCTGATGATGTTTATTTGTATTGTGTGTTATGGTTATGTCACTTAGTTTTACTTTAGATGTCCTGTATATTTTATCATTTTATTATTGCAACAGTGCTGAGTGATGCATCAGGTCAATGCTCTTCTTAAATCTCACATCCCTCCTTCCGTCCTTGTGAGATACATATTCTACTTGTGGAATAATTTTAATAGCAAATTTATTTTGTATACATTGGAAAAGGCAGATTAAATAGTAACATAAGGCTGCCATAATAAAGCAAATATTTATAATCATTTTCCATTTGACTATGAAACGCCAGCATTTAGTAATGGTGTGGCACAAACAGCTCACATAGAGATCATAAAGGAGAAGACATGTACTCTGTATATTTCGCCCTGCTACTGAAGCTCACTCCATAAAACAAAGTGTTAAGTCAATATATATACAGTAGTCATCATCTGTTTTATTGTCACCGTGGGGGAGTTATATCTCACTGGTGTGTCTGCTACAATTTATGTTCAGAACTGATGTATTTCAAGTCTAGCACTGCTACTCGGAAAGGTTTGCGCAAGAGTGGACTGTCAGTTACTTATGCACTTTGTAAGCATGAAAGAAGCGTAGTGAAAGTGAAGGATTACATTACAACCATATAGAAAAAGTGAACAGAATGACATCATAGTACAGCATAATGTTCTATGCTACCATGAATTATTAATAATTAGAAGGAAGGAAATAAAGACAGATGATTGTTTTATGCTGTTATTTATATTATTATTAGGCCAAACAGGTCTCCAATAGGATAGACTGTCCTTCACAGGACAATTCTGGCAATCCTGGTTTAAACCTACTAAAGGATGCTGATATATGTATAACCTGTTTGACATTACAACTGCCTTAAATGTGTATGAAAGACTTGAAGTAACCAGATTCCACTGTACGATACCAATGTAGGGAAGTAGAATCACGGAGGATTGAACCTCCGTCCTATTAGTCATATGATGAACATTCTAACCAATTTCATTGATTTTGTAATAATATTGTAATATAATTTTTTTTATTTTCACAGCTCACGCCTTACTTGGGCAAGACTGTGAGAGGTAAAGTATACAAAACAGTTTTACGTGGAAATGTCATATATGACAGAGGAAATTTCTGCACAGCTGTACCAAGAGGAAAATTTGTATTTGCACCAAATTTAATATAAGATCAGACGTGTAGTTATAGGACTGAGATTATTTTTTTGCAACCTCATCAATGTAACTTTTATGTAGGATGTGGCACCTGAACAATCATGATTAATAATACTAATAATATATTCAAGGGGAAAAATGAACTTGTAGAACCATGAAACCAGAAGAACTAATAGGAGAGATTAATAATAATATAATGATAATAATAATAATAATAATAATATATTCAATGGGAAGATCTAAACTTGTATGGATCGCAAAGTGCGATTGTGAGGCAATCAAGTTGGATCCGAGGAAGGGGAGTGTAGCTCCGGTTCCATGGGTCGAAAGCCTTTCACAAACGTCAAGGCGTCCTTAGTGAAGGATGTCAAGAATAATCAGCCAGGAATTGGTTGGAACATCATTATACTGTGAACGAATTTAGTATAAACACATCTTAGTTCATGTGTGTGGAGGGAAAAAAATGTTATAATGTGTGAATAAGGTCAAGTTTCTTCACCATTGTGTTAAATATAGCCTTTGAAGATTATCCAATAGGCCTCTGTAGAGAGTCGCAACAGACCTTTGGAAATGGTTTTAGCATTTTTGGGAAATGCTCTGAACAGGTCTCTGGAGATGGTATAAAAAAAAAAAACTCCAGCTGGCTTTTGGAGATGGGTTCAACAGACTTCCGGAGATAAGTTCAAAAGACCCTTAGACATGAGATTATTTTATTTTTTTGTACGTTAAATATGACACTCTTCACTAGTATGCTTTCGGATTAAGTATTTTCCTTAAGAAGCTTAATATTACTCTGTACCTCAGGTTATTTCAAGTCTGGCACTGTGTGTGATGATGGAGAAAATACACATTGCAGAACAACCTTTTGTTAGGCGAACGTTTCGATTTGTAAAACTTTAACAAGTCACAAATTTCACCAATTTCTGGTCCTGTCTATAGTGTAGGCTACTCCCACCCGTCTTTAGTGGAGGCGACTAACTCGATTTACTGTTAGGTGAAAAGGGTCAGCATGTGGAAGATTTGCCCATACGTTTCGAACCTGGTTTCCTTTGGTTGGGAGCCAAGCGATCCACCAGGGAACTTTAGGAACGCTTGAAATAGTGAAAAAATTTTTAAGTATTAGGTCTCCTGAAGATGTGTCCTCACCAATTTGTACTGACGGATTTCTGTTTGAGTAAGCCGAGACTCAGCTCTTGGCCCCGCCTTGCATATAACTAATCAGCATCACCGATCTCTTCCATTCTTGGTCTATATCATATCTACTTTTCTGTATGTGTGTGTGTGTGTGTGTTTTAGTTACCATTTTCTCAGGCACTTGTCACTAAGACACTTGGCCTGTTGTGTGTGTGTGTGTGTGTGTGTGTGTGTGTGTGTGTGTGTGTGATCAAATTATTAGAGAAACATTGCTGAAGCAGTAATTACATCTGTTACAACTGTTGAAGTAGCAGTAATATAAGTTTATCACTGTTGAAACAGTATCAGTATTTTAACTATTAATATCTCTTGTCATTAAATGTTCACAAGATACAGTTCCTCCGTCACCGTCACCTAGAGACAATATCTTCATCAGTATATTTATCTCTTAGTTCCGAAGATGGTGCTTTTCTGTGGCCAATGAAATTGTCTTATATTTTTTAGCTTAAATGTAAAAAAAAATAATTGATGGATTACTGTACATAATATGTTATATCTTTTGTGCTCAATGTGTTTTTAAAATGCAAAATGGGAAACTCCCTCAAGGGAGGCGCTTTGGACCTGTACTCATTTTCTTTGGACCAAACCTGAATGTCTCCCATTCTCCCAGGCGCTGTGACTCCTACGGGTTTAACGCTCTCCCATGAATGTACTAATAATGTAAAGCAGGAAAAGGTTAGAAATTATTATTAACACAGAATGTCGTTAGTCTGAAATGTTTGTATCATGGAGCCTAATTCTATACGAGTCTTGTAGCTCAAGCCTATAATTTTTGTTCTTGACCGAAATTATTTTGGTTTAATTTACTGCTTGTTGAATAAACATTAAAAGTGAACTGCTATATCATTCTGTTCACAGAGGTGGCCTACATAGAGATCAGTGAAGGCATGCAAAAATTCTCTTACCTCTACACGGTGGGGAAGGGATCCTTCAGACTGTGCTGGTGTGACTAAATCTTACTCAAGCCAGGGTTCTTTCACAAATTAAAAATGCCTCTCCCCACGGCGTCACTCAGCAGCTCTTCTACCCCCTTGCTGCTAGCGAAAGGCTCGTGATATAAGGAATCTGAGGTACCCTCCCCTTGCATCAAACGCTAAACCGGGTTTAGCGTTTCACGAAATAAAACTAAATAACATCTTCATGCCGATGGTCACAAATAATTCAAACATGGCCTACTAGACCCGTAGATTTATAAGACCATCCATACTTTGAAGGTATATTTATACAAATAACTAACATGTTGAAGAAAAACTCATTACGACGTTTCGGTCCAACTTGGATCATTGTGTATTGTCTCAGTCACGGTATTGTGTATTTTTGTTGTTTTTGAAGGTATAGTTGTAGCGTCTGGAGTTATCCCGACCTCCCACACACACCAGGTGTAAATATCTGGATAATTTTAGCTTGCATGCAGCTAGCACTAGGTTTATTATGACTTAGTATGTGATATTGACTCAGCAACAGCTACGTGCTTGCTAATAGTGGGCGTAAACAGAGAATCAGTAATGATGAATAAAGCTGTTGTTAGGTAAGACATATGCAACAGTTAGGTATCTTTATTTCGAAACGTTTCGCCTACACAGTAGGATTCTTCAGTCGAGTGCAGAAAAGTTGATAAAAGAGGCGAAACGTTTCGAAATAAAGATACCTAACTGTTGCATATGTGTCTTACCTAACAATCTGTCAGTATTTTATACCATTTTAACATAAATAAAGCTAACTAAAACGTGCAGAGAATAATTCACGAGAACAGTTCAAGACTTTATTTTAATACTTAACTACTGGTTGTAAAAATGAATATCATATTTCACTTGTGGCGAACGATTAAAAATTTGCTGCGGTTGTAACTAAACCCAAGATAGTACGGAAAGTAATGCCATTACAGGAGACTGATGAAGCGGTGTATGACCCTTATGGGTTTAGCGCTTATTTATGATTATAATAATGTTAAGAGGAGATTGATACCCACTGGAAAACATTGAAAGCATTTATTATTATTTCTGACTCTTAACATGTTGTGCAGGTGGTCGTGAAATATGGCCCCCCCCCCCCCGGGATCAACAGGTTTGGTTGAAACAAATCCAGCCTAGATTTATGACAAGATATAAATTCGATCTACTATGAAGAGTGATCCTGAATAAAATGTACAAATTAAGAAAATATCTTCTACACCACTAAATAATTCCTGTTAAATAAACTATGAAAAATAAGAAACTGTGAAAATGAAAAGTGAACGCACACCTGGTAAATAACTACTCCCACACTTAATAAGTTGGACAGTCTCGTGTTATTCTTGGTGGTGAGTGGCTATAATTTTTTTTATGAACAAAATAGGCGTTGATTTTTACGGTAAAAACTAGACTACAAAGCATCTAATAAATTCAGTAGGACATCATAGTAGGATAGATTCATCGATATCCTTACTTAGATGAGGATGACATTACATAGTTGTGTTGGAAGACTTCAACTGTTTATTTTTCGTTCCTGGCGTTCCTTTGTTTAATTTTCCCTATGTTGAAAAGGGCGTTACGTGATAAAACTTCCAACAACCACATGGTAAGTAAATATCAGCATATATATATATATATATATTAATATATATATATATATATATATATATAATATATATATATATATAAATATATATATATATATATATATATATATATATATATATATATATAAGAATGGTCCAGAGTATATATATAATTACTAGGTGCAAATTATTTTATACATTCCATTCAAATGTAGATTAGCTAATTATTCCGTACACACACACACACAGACACCTATTGTCGAATATTGAAGAGGAGGGGCCAAGACTTATGAATCGACCCCTGCAACTACGTATAGGTAAGTACACAAAATACCGAACAGGCCAAGTGTCTTATAGACAAGTGCCTTTGATAAAATGGTAACAGCACACACACACCCAGGCCAAGTGTTTGTCGACAAGTTTCTTTGACATGGTAACTAACACGTACACATTCTCCCCCCCCCCTCACTCTCCCCATCATCTAAAGAATGCAAGCATTCTTGGCGCTGTATATCATTCTTTGTACTGTATATCAACTATAACAAGTGCTCAAAAATGTGGGACACGAATCCTAATAGTATTTTTTATTTTTTTATCAGTTAATCCTAAATCTCGACTCATCGTTAAGATAAAGACAAACTAACATAAAACTTAAGTTTAAGGAGATAAGCTTTCACATTATATTATTTCGTTACAAAGAAAGATTGGCATCTGAGTTAAGCTTCTTTATTTTATTATATACGTTCATTTATGAGTATGTATGTCTTGTCCTCCCTTTTCTTGGATTGATACCGATTACCTCCTATTTCTAATGTTCTGTATGACCCTTACTGCTCTAGAACTTCTCCAGACCGATAATAATAGTATTGTGTATGTAAGAGCTACTCTAAATAGTTTTGGTACTGGTGAAGAATATACTGGTTTTATTTAAAGAGTTATTTATTATTATAAGAACTGTTCATAGACTTAACATAGTGGAAATAATAACAACAACAATAATATTACCCACATAATAAAAATGACGTCACAATCTTGTTTTCTCACTAAGTCGCCGCTTTCTTGACAATGATTTAAGAGAATGTAAACAATATGACGGCGCTGCCTTAAATATTTACCTTACAAAGTGGAAACAGCTATATAATTGGCACCATATTACACCCCCATTTTTGCCTACCTTCTTTCTGAAAGACTAGACTTCAGTGAAGATTCTCTACGATTTTTTAGACGACACTAGCTTACTACACTGACTCTTGCCTTTTACACATACTTTCCTCTTCACATGCTTTACACCTGACATTTAATATAAAAAATAATTATTTTTCAAGGTTATATATAACGAGAGGTAAAATATATATATATATATATATATATATATATATATATATATATATATATATATATATATTATATATAAACACTGATCTCTGGCTGAAGGAGACTCGAACCTACGAACCTTGGAACAAGG